ACTGTAAAAGTCTCATTCCCTCCCTCTTGGCCTGTAAGATTCCTACTGAAAAGTCTGCAGTCAGGAAAATTGGAATTCCTTTTTGTGTTATTTGTTTCTTTTCTCTTGCAGTTTTGAGAATCCTCTTTTTATCTTTAACCTTGTTCTTCATAATGTAAAAATTGGGTTAAATATAATGCAAAGTAGAAGATAGTAAAATAAATGGCTGTTAGTCATACCATGTCTTAGCAGACAATCTTGCCCATTAATGTTGAGATAATCATTAATGACATGAAAAATTGTTTATCATACACTATCATGTGAAAAACCACAGGTTTCAAACACATACATGCATATGCAAATATTTTTGTACATAAACATATATATTTACTTCCACAATATACACAGTAGAAAAGTGTGAATTAGGTATTTACTGTTTTATTTTTATTTTTTAACTTTTATTTAATGAATATAAATTTCCAAAGTACGATTTATGGATTACAATGGCTTCCTCCACATACCGTCCCTCCCACCCACTACCCTCCCCTTTCCCACTCCCTCTCCCCTCCATTCACATCAAGATTCATTTTCGATTATCTTAATATACAGAAGATCAGCTTAGTATACATTAAGTAAGGATTTCAACAGTTTGCTCCCACACAGAAACATAAAGTGAAAAATAATAGATGATTTTTTTTAAATGATGATGAAATAGATCAGACCTATTGTCATGTTTAATCCCAGTGAGAGTCAAGTTGGGAGTTGATAATTTCTTTTTTTTTTTTTCTCCAGAGGATCAGCTTAGTATGCATTAAGTAAAGATTTCAACAGTTTGCACCCCCATAGAAACACAAAGTGAAATATATTGTTTGAGTACTCGTTATAGCATTAAATCTCAATGCACAGCACATTAAGGACAGAGATCCTACATGAGGAGTAAGTGCACAGTGACTCCTGTTGTTGACTTTACCAATTGACACTCCTGTCTATGGCATCAGTAATCTCCCTATGCTCCAGTCATGAGTTTCCAAGGCTATGGAAGCCCTCTGAGTTCTCCGATTCTTATCTTGTTTAGACAAGGTCATAGTCAAAGTGGAGGTTCTCTCCTCCCTTCAGAGAAAGGTACCTCCTTCTTTGAAGACCTGTTCTTTCCACTGGGATCTCACTCGCAGAGATCTTTTGCCAGAGTGTCTTGGCTTTCCATGCCTGAAATACTCTCATGGGCTTTTCAGCCAGATCCGAATGCCTTTAGGGCTGATTCTGAGGCCAGAGTGCTATTTAGGACATCTGCCATTCTATGAGTCTGCTGAGTATCTCACTTCCCATGTTGGATCACTCTCCCCTTTATTTATTCTATCGGTTAGTGTTAGCAGGTACTAGACATGTTTATGTGCTCCCTTTGACTCTTAGTCCTTTCATTATGATCAATTGTGAACTGAAATTGATCACTTGGAATAGTGAGATGGCATTGGTACATGCCACCTTGATGGGATTGAATTGGAATCCCCTGGTATGTTTTTAACTCTACCATTTGGGGCAAGTCAGCTTGAGCATGTCCCAAATTATACATCTCTTCCCTCTCTTATTCCCACTCTTATGTTTAACAGGGATCACATTTCAGTTAATTTTTAACACTTAAGAATAACTGTGTATTAATTACAGAATTAAACCAGTCATATTAAGTAGAACAGGTAAAAAAAAAATACTAAGAGGGATAATGTATTAAGTTGTTCATTAACAGTCAGGGCTATGCTGATTTTTATTAATGAAGAAACTGATAATGGTAATCCTGTACATCTGCAAAAGGATACAACATTTGATAGAATATTTGCCTCATATTTCCAATGAAAAGATTCTTGGGAAATTCATGTAACCATTTATTTTAGTTTTTATATTATAAATATTATATAAATTATATTATAAATAGTTGGAATGGCTACTGAGGACAGGTTGAATGCAAATTTTAAAAACAAACTATGGGGGTGGGGATTGTGGTGCAGTGGGTTAAACCACAGCTTGAGAGCCTGCATCCCATACTCCAGTGCCTGGTTCAAGTTCTAGCTGTGAATTAGGTATTTACTGTTTTATTTTTAAGTTAAAAAATTATTCAATATATGTTACTTTCAAATTCAGAAAAAAAGTGTTTTAGTATTTTCCATGCTCATCTGTGTCTAGGGTTGGGTTTATAAACACAAGAGAGAGTAATTCTATTTCAAATATGCCAATTTATGGACCAGTTTTCAAGCAGGAGACTCTTAATCAAAGCATCTGAACTTTTGGATGTCTTAGCTTCTTCCTCAGATGATGTAAAACAAATGAAACTTATCCATTAGTTTTTAATTTTCTGAAGCATAGATGTCAATAAGGATGGAGTATATAATTTTTAAAAACAATACTATATGGAAGAAAATAGGGAGTACATACAGCCTTTTACCCTGAGATAAATACTGTTATTGGGATGAACAGAGTCTTCCAGGCATATGTTTATACCTACATACACACAATCATACATCTGTCATTTTTCATAGATGGGATCATATTATATATGCACTTTTCATCAGTTGACTCTGCTCCCATTCCCATGCAACTTCTAGAACATCAGGAACCCATGTTCCACATTTGTCATGTTAACAACCTTAGATATGTCCTTCCATTTTTTCCAAGTTAATATATTGGCTTTCCATTGAACAATTTATTCATATAGCACTAGTATGACAGAAAATCACTATTGTGACTCTATGGCGTGTATTTCATAAACAATCTATTTTACTTATTTTTCTTGATTGTTTTAGCAAGTGTTAGGCATTTTTCCCATATGAACTATAAAATTTATTTAATAATTGCATTGGATTTACATGCTGAACTTTGGCATTTTCATTTCTCTATCAACTTTTTGGAGCTATCAGGAATGTCTACAGGATTTTTTAAAATTATAATACTCTCTAACTTAACGTTAGAGTACCAGTTTTTGTTATGGTTAATTCACAAAGTCTCTTCTCTCCAAACTGAAATCTGTTTACTTGTAAGCTAAATTTTGGGCAAAATCATTTCTAGGGTCCATATTAGTTTAAATTACTTGAATTTATGTATAAAAAGTTAATGAAAGAAAAGTAAAAGCTATGAAAGTCTTTATTTTCTCTGAGTTTTAGAATATTAGAACTATAGCAACTTCATTCCCCATGGAGAAAATGATGTGGCAATGTACTGGTGGGATGACCAACTATCCTGGTTTGTCTTGGATTGAGGGCTTTTCAGGAACAGTGGACTTCCAGTGCTAAAACCAGGAAGGTCCTGGGAAAACCAGAATGACTGGTCATTCTATCTGGTCTGGTGGTTTCTTTAAAAGTACTTTGAAAATGCTCATGTTTTTGTGTATAAACTTACTGAAATTCTGCTTTAGTCTTTAAAATTTACTTTAAAGAAGACTCCTTGTCTTAAAAATCTTGTGAAGATTTTGGACTGCTAAGTAAATGTTGATGTTAAATATAAATTAACAGTGTTCTATATTTATTTTATTAATTTTAAAATATTTTATTATATAGTCTAGAAATAATAAATTTGTGGAAAATGCTTTCTCACAATCAAATCCAGAAAAATAAAGACTATAAATGGTGAGCATTGTTTCTTAAAAATCACAAATGTATTAAGAAGAATGATGAAAATGAACAAGAGGGGACATAAATACTTTATTAATTTTCACAGTATTACTATATAATTTACATATATCATGTTCCCATAGGGCTCTTATTAGTAGCTTCGGCTACCATAGAAGATATAATTGATTTAGTGGTTTAAACAACAGAAATTAATTTCTCACAGGTCTGGAGGTTGTTAAGTCTGAGATCAGGGCGCCAACATGTTAGTTTCTAATGAGGACTATCCTCCTGCCTTGTAGGTGGTTGCCTTCTTGCTGTTTCTTTACATAGTGGAGTGGAGGGGGGGCAGCGAGAGCGAGTTCTTTGATAAATTTTATAGCTGCACTAGTCCCATCATGAGGGTCCCATCAAAATCTAATTACCATCCAAAGACTGTGATTCAGATACTATCATATTGGGGGTTAGAGGTTAGGCCTTCATCATGCGAACATTTTTGAGGGTAGTAGGGGGACACAATTCTATCCATAGCAGATCTCAAAAAAGCACATCAACCACAAGAATCCAGTGGTTTTTTGCAATTGGTTTGGCTTAGTTAATAAAGTGCTTAAGTATCTGGAGTCTGCTTAAACTCTTAAAACTTTTTTGCTTTTCAGGAGTTTATTTCAGTATGACAAGCTTATTAGGGGAATCATAGTTTTGACAGAATAAAACACAAAAAGATGACTGTATATGAAACCCATGCAGCCATCAGACAATGAAAGGTTTTCTAGTCATCAGTGTGCAAGCTCTAGTGCATTTTCATTGGCTTATGAAAATCTTTAATGGACCTCAGTGCAGTATATTAAACAGATGAGTATATTTGCCCTTTATAAAGTCATTTATTTTATGTAAATTTTTATTGTTTCTTGCTTTCAAACCACGCAGTACATTGTTGTGCTGTTCATGATGTCGGGATGTTGTGGGCACTGTCAAATGTCTGGCACCAAGCCACTGAGTTGTGACAGTGCCAATCTGCATCTGAGGCAAGTTATAACACAAAGACTATATGCACTGGGGGAAGGTATGCACTAAAATATGACAGTATTGCACATGATATGCATTTATCATTTGGCAAAGAAAAACAACATACTCTGGATTCTTGCTTCTAGACTTAAATTTTTCTTCAGTATGTGCATATTATTTTGAATGTATTCTTACTGAATTTTGTAGCCTGAATTGTATACAGATCTGTTGAATAGCTTACTTCAAATAGTCCGATTCAGGAGTTCTTTAAAATTATTTGGATGGTGATGGGTCTTTGGCTTACTTAATTGTTTTTATTTATTTGTTTGTGGCAATAAGGCAATTGAGTCAAGGGTGATCTGGAATTTTCAGGACTTATAGTGTTTTCATGATTTCTCCATGACTGTTTTTCACTGATTTCAGCCATACATAGAGATACTGATGTGGCAGAGATCCAAATGAAGATAGTGCTAATTGGAGGAGGAGGGAAGTGGTGAGTATGGAGATAAAACCACTTTTACCATGTGGGTAATTTTGTGAAATACTAGACTACATTAGTATGCAGATTGCATTTGATGCCCTCATAAATAATGTGTTTATACAAAAACACCCATTTGCTCTAAGTAAATGATCGTGCAGGAAGCAGGGCTGTAGATGATTTGTGGGGCATGCAGGGGTGATATTGGTTCTCCTACTGAGCACACATTGCTTTGACTATGAAATCAGGAAAATGTAGAAATCACAAATGCAAAGTAAGCAAAATACAGCAGCCAACATCTGTTATAATTATGTGGTATTGAAATGTGTCCCTTTAATATTTTTCATGAGTGATGGCTTATGGAGATACCTCAGAAAATAAAATTAAGCACCCAATATTATATAATTAGGGGCTTCAGTCTTGCCTGCACTTGTAAAGTAACAAAGCATATTTGTATTACATTGTTATCTCATTTTATTCCTTTTGTGTTTGTTAGATTTTCTCTTGAAAGTTATCTTAAATTGAATTTAGGCTGTATTCTGCAGTGTCAGGAAAATTGATAATGTTTATTTCTTAACACTGTGCAGTGTATGATCTTACTAACTTTGTATTAATATTACCAAAGAAGGGTAACAAAAGTGGCTTTTAGCTTTCACCCTTTGTTCAATAAATCAAGCATAAACATGGTCTGCACATGGCTTTTCAATGAACTATGCCATTTTATTTGTCTTTTATCTTGAAGGTTTATTGCTTTACATGGCTTAAAGAGACTCAGGGTCTGAACTGTTTAATCTGGGATGTTTAGCTTATCGATGTCACAGCCAGAGTGTGTGAGAAAGTCAAATGCCAAACTCCTTGCACGTGTACAGTAGGTGCAGTGTATGCAACTCCAAAGATTCAGTCCTTGGGATGTGAATGTTGCTCTGCTCACTTGTGTTTGAAAACGCATTGCATTTCTAACAATTACGTACAGTTTTAGATCTTTTCCAAAGATTATTCTGATTGTTCAAGTTCTACTGTACACCATGCACTAGTTCTGTTTCCTGCTTTTTCTATAGGAACTTCCTGGAAAAAAACTGAAGCAGTAAAAAGTTTATTATGATCTACTAATCCTTCCAAGCTAATGTTTGCGCAATTTGCAATAGAAAATTATATTGGCTTCTATTTAAAATTTCTTTATCACTGGCTTTTTTTCTCTTTCAACATCACTGATTTTAAAGGTTTATTGTTTAAATAGATGCACAATTTTTTCAATTGCTACTAAGTGTTTTTTATCTTTCTTCTCTTAGATCTTGGGTAGGTTCTTAGGGAAAGGAGCAGAGGTATATATAAGCATGGAGCTGGACCCCAGGGAAAGAAAACTTGTAACTATTAATGACCCATTTTGTGTCAGACACTGTGCTAGAAACTTTGGTGTGTGCCTTGCACTTAAAATCTGGTTGAAGATGCACATTTGTGTCACAATTGTTATATGTGAATAAGTACATTTGAAAACCTTTAAAATTAAAATGTGCTATACATATGCACACTACTCTGCACTATTACAATTGTGAAATTTAAGATTAAAATGACTTTATCTGGCATGAAGCATTAAAAGAACTCAGAGGAAAGAGCAGCCTGTATGGGGCTGACAAGAGATAATGCATTTATCGCCATTTGTTTAACACAGAATTCAAAAACACCAGTTTTCATTTAGAACTCATAACAACCCCTACTAATAAGTAGTTTGACAATGTTTTTTTTAAATGTGAATGCAATTTAGAAAGGTAAAGGAAATGCTCCCCCAGATGACCTGTTGATGCACCATATCCTCTTCTCCCACTACACAAGCACAGTTGATCTCACGTTGCATTCAGATATGTCAGTTTTCCATTTAAGACACTCTGATGGCTTTCCATCTACTTCAAATAAAATCTAAACTCCTTATCATGACATACAGAACTATAGGAATCAGCCCTTTGTGTACCCTAAGACCCCACTACATGTCACTCTCCCTTTTATAATTACATATTGGCTACTCTGACCCTCCTGTCTTCCAGTGGAGCCCAGGTTTGGACTTACTTGTTCAAAGTGGATGCTGTTGACTGCCTCTCTAGGTTCTTTTTACTTTCAGCCCTGCTGTGACACCATCCTCTCTTTTGTTCAAGTGTTGCTCTTGTCCCATTGCAGCCACAGGATTTGTGGAACTGACTACTGCTCCAGGGATTATTCTGAGTAGTTAAACCTAATCATGGTGTTCCCATTTCTTTACTACTGATCAAACCAGGGACCCAAGCCCTTTGCAGTCAGTCAGTGCAGAGACATTCCTAAGTCTCAAGAATTAACCCCCTGTGGCGCAGTGGGTTAACGCTCTGGCCTGAGGTGCCCTTATTCCATATGGGTGCTGATTCAAGACCCAGCTGCTCCACTTCCAATCCAGCTCTCTGCTATGGCCTGAGAAAGCAGTGGAGGATGGCCCAAGCCCTTGGGCCCCTGCACCTATGTGGGAGGCCCAGAAGAAGCTCCTGGCTCCTGTCTCCTACTATTAGAATGTTAGTTCCAGGCCGGCTCCGCGGCTCACTAGGCTAATCCTCCGCCTAGCGGCGCCGGCACACCGGGTTCTAGTCCCGGTTGGGGCGCCGGATTCTGTCCCGGTTGCCCCTCTTCCAGGCCAGCTCTCTGCTGTGGCCAGGGAGTGCAGTGGAGGATGGCCCAGGTGCTTGGGCCCTGCACCCCATGGGAGACCAGGAAAAGCACCTGGCTCCTGGCTCCTGCCATCGGATCAGCGCGGTGCGCCGGCCGCAGCGGCCATTGGAGGGTGAACCAACGGCAAAGGAAGACCTTTCTCTCTCTCTCTCTCTTTCTCTACTGTCCACTCTGCCTGTCAAAAAAAGAAAAAAAAGAAAAAAAAACTCCTGTCCCCTACTATTAGAATATTAGTTCCATAGGAGCAGAAATCTGTTCAGTTACTATGCCCTTTCCAGCAATTTGAACAGATGTTCTGTTTTTGTTGAAATGGTGGCTAAGTGGGAGTATCAGATCTCAAATTTTCATACTTCAGCTGCATATTCCAATCTTATCCATTGCACTCTGCTGCCTGGCAAGAAGGGGAATACTCATATTAGTAGAGGAAAGGACAAATGAAATCTGTTCTAGGGGAATTCAATCAGTCTCTTCTCATTATTTGAGAATAAATGTATTCAATTTATAAACCAGTACTTAAGTATTTCAGTTAAAATATGAGTTTCAAAAATATGAACTAAATGGATATAAAATGTAGGCTAGAGATGTTTAGTGTTTAGAATTTAGACTAATGTTTAGTGTTTAGACTAATGGTTAAGTTGCTTACATCCACTATTGGGTTTGATTTCTGGATGCAGCTCCTAACTCTAGCTTCCTGCCAATGTAGACTCTGGGAGGCAGTGGTGTTGGCTCAATTATTTGGATTTCTGAAATCCATATTGGATACCTGAATTGAGTTACTGGTTCCAGACTTTACCCATGGCACAACTCCAGCAGTTGAAAGTATTTGGGGAAATAATCAGTGATGTCTGTTACATAAAAATAATAAAAAAGAATTGAACTTATCCCATTAAAATAATCTTAAATCTTAAAAAAATGTAGGGTAGTAAAAATCTGGTATATTTATACTTATATTGTGTACATATAAATTTAAGATTTATGTTTATATATGGTTGCAAAGGACTTATATCCTCACAAGATTTTACCTGAAATCTGTGGCCTGTTGCTTGATTGACAGAGTACCTCAGACTCTAAATACCACAGCCAGAGGGGAGCTGCCACATGTGGAAGAGCTTTACCAATTGTGAGAAACAAGCACATGGAGCCTACATTGTACATTCCATGAGACAAGGATGGTATCAAGGATTACCTCCTTTTGTGGGCTAGGTAAATCTCAGCACAACTTAACAGTGGTGATGAGATGGGAGTCCTGGACATCAGAAGAGGCCGGGGATTATTGTATTGGCGTATTTGTCTTCTGCTCAAGTCTATGTGTGAGATTTTTCCAGCAACAAACTTAGGAGAACCAGGTTAGCATTGTGGTTAGAGGCATGTCTTGATGGCAGAATTTCTGGAATTGAATTTATCCTCTCTGTCATCTACCATCTAACTTTGTTTAACCTATTTATGCTTTAGTATCATCACATGAAAATGTGGCTAATACAAGCCACTTCAGGCAGTTGTACAAATTAATTGAGTCAGTATACATAAAGCATTGCTTTCCATATTGTTTATGGTGATAGATCAATTTTTCAAAAAATTTTCTAGCCTGTTACTGATATTTTTGTAATACACTATACAATAAATTACTAGAAAGTGAAATAGAAACAAAACACAAAGTACTAGTCTCAATTTTAAAGAGTAGACTAAACAGAAAAATTACTCTGTTAATTTGCAGCAAAAGCATCTCAATGTTTATCCTCAATTTCTATATTATTTAGCATTGGTATACAAAGAACTTGAAACAATTCAGTGTGAGTTGTTCCAGGATTTCCCCATACTACAGGGCTCTGTTTGTTTTAAGAAGCAGAACTACAAGTTTTGAGGACCATGAGTGACACGCTATGACAACAATGAAAGGTATTGATAGTATTCTCATTGCCTTTCTCACAGCAAAAATGTTTAGTTTTGGTGATTTGCTTTCATAACTCAAAGGACAGGCAGGCTTTTTCAAACAGACATATTAAAGTGAAAATACAAACATTTTTGGGATAGGGAGACACTTTCAAAGGTTTTTTGGTCACAGCATATCTCCTCTTATTGCAATATATAAAATTTATCATTAGGAAAGGAGTACCTTTCTATACCTTAGTTAACACCGTAATATGGACAAAATAATAGTAATAATAATAATAATAGTAATGATTTTTAAAAATTTTTAACTTTTATTTAATAAATATAAATTTCCAAAGTACAACTTTTGGATTATAGCAGCTTTTTCCCCCCATAACCACCCTCCCACCCACAACCGTCCCATCTCCCACTCCCTCTCCCATCCAGTAATGATTTCAAAA